GGACGTGGACGCTCATGAGAACAAGACTCTTGTGTTTGCCTTGTTGGCAGAGCATTCACTGCTATTCACTGTTAAATGTGGGCCACAGTTAACACACTATAACAACACGCCGTGTGTTTTGTTAGTACACCCCAGCAAGGAGCTGCTTTTTTGGCAGACTAACGTGAATATACTGTCACACTTCATCATACTGACTGCTCTCTGCTTTTTGTTATGTACTTATATTGCGAGACGGTAGCCAGTGTGACGACAAAATGGCGGTACACTCCGTCATAGAGGCTTTTGCCTCTACAAGAAATATCGTCACAGTTTAATATAGCGAGATGTTGTCACACCCCTAGTCACAGTATGTTTGTAGGGAGGTCAAACCCACTGACATGCGTATTATCCTGCGGTAAATGGAGTAAAACATTTTTCCTATCAGGATAGCTTTGTGTGTGTGTGTGTTTTAAATAGATTTTTGTGTATTCACCTTCCTGAACTGGAAGAAAAACCATCATCAAGGCATTTCTATTTCTTTGGGTGGTAACCTCTAATTCAACCCCTGCGACTGTTCCTCTACCTCTTCAGCTGTAGGCCACAGATCTCGTCCCTGCCCTCCCTCTGAGCCTGTCTGGCCCTGGTTTCTTGCAGCACTGACTTGTTGATCCCTCATAGCTTGGGCTCTAACAGGCTTTCTTGCTCCAGAGATAATACGCTCTTCTCACAGTATCTAACCTTAACAGCCACTCTTCATCCCTTCCAGAGTGACTCTGCCTGCTTTGGCCTTCTGACCTGGAATTTGTTTTGGCCACACTTTCAGCTTTTCAGCTTGTTCCTGCAGTTTCTCAATTACATCAGTAACGAGCAGGCTGTAGATGGTTTGCCAGCAGGCAGCTGCATGCGCAGCCTCCCACACAGGACCCACTGCCCTGCAGCTCACAGTGTTGTTAATTTAGCCTCATTTTTCCTCCATGTGACTATTACTCATTTGTTTGCACAATATTTCTCTCGAAAAAATGTAATTATCTGTATCTTGGAATGTAATGTTTGTTTCACAGTGAATGTGTAGTTCCTACAAATGTCATTCACGGACCTCTTAAATGAATGTTCTTTACTGTTCTTACACTCTGCCTCGGTTAGATGAGTGGGTTGTGAAGTCCCTGTTGAAGCTGGGAATCCCTCTGTTGGGTCACTGGTGTTGTCATCATGCCAACGACACTCTTCATATAGTCTGCTCTAGTCCTTTAGCTGGACTTTTTAATGTATTTTATGATTGCATGAAACCAATTTAATTTGTATTGTTCCAGGCTTTAGTCACGACACACAAACTCATGTTGTAGCAGATGTGCTACATGGCTTTGTAATAGGCACTAAGTAAAAAAAAAAACAGCAAAATAAATTAACTATATAAATAAACTGACTTGTCGAAGACTCTTGATAAGAATATTTCTTTCAATGCAGATTGTTCAGTCTGATGTTCCAAATCGATGGACTGAAGGACGAGGGGAGCTACGAGCGTCATCAGGCTCTGTGGTAGTGTGTAAAGAAGCAAAATGCTGTTTTCTGATCTGGTAATTATTCTAACGATAAAGCTTTGTCTGGTGATGATGTAACAATACCAGACTGACACTGAGGTCTGGAGCTACAAACTGATGTGACTGACATCAGCAGAGCCACAATGAAGACGAGTTCACATCACACTTCAGTGTTTTAATGTTGCAGCTCTTCTGCTGGAGGTGAAGTGGAAATATGACAGTTTGGTCAGTGGAAGTCCTTCATGTTGAACAAGCATATTTACAGGGGTGGAGTGTTCCCAGGTATATTTACTCAAGTACTCTACCAGAGTACAACACTGGTTGTCCTCAGATGGCCAAGACTGCATCTGAGATGTCTTTGAGTTCAGTGCAAATTAATTATAAGAAGAAGAAATTGCACACAGATATGAAAATAGATTGTATTAAAACAATTTTGAGGCATTTGGTGTAATTTCCTTTTGTTTATGCTTATATACCACATTTAAAAGGCAATTTTTTTTTTTTTTTTTGTCCACAGCATTACTTGACAGCTATAGATACTTTCCTGAAGAAGATTTAACAAAGTGGAAATGAGCTTATTACTCAGGTGCTGTATCTAAGTATGACATCAGCAAGTTGGCCTACAGACAGGAGGTTGAACTGCTGGTCCTGTGGTGTGGTCGCAACAACCTGGAGCTGGACACACTCTGAGCAGTGGAGATGACAGTAGACTTTAGGAGGATGTCCAACATCAGCACTGTCACCAAGAAGCCACAGCAGAGGATGTACTTCCTGCGCCAACTCAGGAAGTTCGACCTGCCCCAGGAGCTGCTGATCCAGTTCTACAGAGGAATCACTGAGTCTATTCTCTGCTCATCCATCATTGTCTGGTTTGGCTCAGCAACCAAACAGGACAGGAACAAACTCCAGCAGCAGTTAGGTCTGAGAGAAGACCAGACTTCTTGTAGACATTTTTCACAACCTTGGTTGATAAAATTTCAGGGTCAAAAGGAGGGTGGAGAAGATTTCTGCAGACCCCTCACACCCTGGACACAAACTGTCTGAGCTCTATCCCTCTGGACGGCGCTACAGGTCACTGAACGCAAAGACAACCACAAGGATGGTTTCTTCTCCTGGGTTGTCACAAAAAGACAAGACAAATTCCTTGTATGTTCAATATATTTGGTGATTAAAGCTGATTCTGATTCCAATAGCCAAGAATGCATCTAAACTACACACATATGAAAATGTTGACCACTTCAATTGAAAGTCTAAAACTGAGCTATTTGTACCAATGTTATTTCTATTATATACATTTCTACTTTACTGAATTCAAAGCGAAAATATGAAACTTTTTGTCCACTATATTTGACAGCAACATTCAATATGCTGAATAAAGAAACACCCCAGAGGAGCTGAGAACATGTGCCTTGTTAAACTATTTTTGTGAAATTACTCAAAAAGATGTTAATTAAATGTTGTCATACGGAGAAAATAACCTAGTTTCTCTGTGAATTAAAGCAACAAAGATGGACTACCATGAGTGAATGCGGAACTAAACGCCGAGTCACGTCCATTACCGGACCTTCACAAGGCGACATCCGGCGGAAGTAAACGCACGAAGTGCTAGCAGCGTTAGCTATGTGGAGTTGGTTAAAGCGCTGGTGTCGTCGTATCAGAGTTACAAGATTTCTTGCTAACAAATCAACAATGTCTTCAGTTCACTATCTGAGAGAGTTCGTCACCGAGCGACTAACTGCTGCTGTTGAAGAAATATTCGGAGTCTTTGAGAAAACTGTCGTCGAGTACGAGGAGGAGATCGATCGTCAGCGCAGACTGCTGGATATCGTTTGGAAACCCGAGATAAGGCTCCGCAGGACAGGTCTGTCAGACCTGGACGGTCCTATTAACACTAGTTTAGTTTAGTTTCTGGTATGATTTTTCTGTTTGATAGTTGCTGACCAGCACAAGTGTGTAAATATAACTAGCACATGAACATAGCCTATCGTATGTACAGTTGTAGTCGAACTTAATCAACCCCCACTGCAAATCATATGTATTGGCACAATTTACAAACTTTCACCTGTGTGCAATAAACAAATCAAACACGAACTGAAATAGCTCAACACAACTAATGCAACAAGTGGTTTATCCAAACTCAACACAAAATGCAACTTTTAATGACTTCTGCAGTCTCGAAATTATTCCACCTCCTGAACAGAATCCCTCATAAGAACACACATTTGCAGATCAGGTGTTGTCTCAAGCTCACCTGGTGCAACTAGCTTGAGACAGAATACATCTAATACCTGAACTGGCTCTGGGGTTTGTTGAGCATCACGTTTGACTGCATGTTAGAATCGTGGCCAAGTCACAAGAATTGTCGAAAATGTTAAGAGAAGAGATCACAGCCTAAACGCTGGAGGCTTCCATGCCACAACTCCAAGACGTACGCCACTACTGACCCAAAAGCACAAGAAACGTCGGCTCCACTATACTCAAAATCATATCGGTAAGCCATAGACGTTTTGGGGTTCTGTTCTGTGGAGTGATTAAACAAAACTGGACCTTTTCAGGCCTATGAATTAGCAGCATGTCTAGAAGAGAAGAATGGAGCATACGCCAACAAGAACACCCTGCCTACACTGGGAACCTGTGGCGTGTGGTCACTTTCTACAGCTTCACATGGGTTTCTTTATAAATTGATGCATTAATGTAAGTTGATGTTTTGGTGCTGAGGATCTGATTGATGACCTTTGTCTTCATGTCCACAGAATCACTATATTAGAAGTACAGACAGATTTTATTCTGACTTGAAGATCATTCTACATATGTCATGTTAATGCAAGGACAGAGATCACTGTCTCTGTCCTTGCATTAAAACGATATACACTGAGGGGATATCTTATCATGCAGCAACACTGCAGTAGTCAGCAGGTATATGTGGAGTGATGTCATGAGATTAAATGGCACAGCACATATACACCAAATGTACAGTACAGCGTATGATAATCAGCTGTGGTACAAGTCAGTATGACAGTGTCAGTGACTTAGCAATTGTAAGTGTTACAAGCTTGGACAAAGGCAGTGATGACAAACCACTGAGAATTGGACTGTCAATAGAACAAGTCGCACACCGTTAAACACTTTGTAATCCTGTCATTGCTGCTCCTTGTGCCCCTTTGTCCCTCCAGAGCTCCAACAGCAACATGTCTGTCAGGAGGAGGAGGAAGAGGTTCTGGCTGACCAGCAGCTCTGGAACCAGGAGAGGGACTCCAGTCTGGACCAAGAGGACCCAGAGCCTCCACAGATTAAAGAGGAACAGGAGGAACTCTGCAGCAGTCAGGAGGGAGAACAGCTTGGACTGAAGCAGGAGACCGATCCCTTTATGTTGACTCCTACTTATGAGGAAAGTGACCACAGTGAAGCAGAACCAACCAGTGACCAGCAGTCTCTGTCACAGCTCTGCTGTAGCTGAGAGCCAGGATCAGGAAGGAAGCCAGCATGGAGACTCAGGATAAGCTAGTAATGCAGAGCCAAAGCCAAAGAGGAGACGTCACAAAGACACAAGTCACAGTAACAGTGTAGACAACTCTCCTATGTCAGAGACTGACTGTGACACTCACACAGGTAAAAAAAACTGTAAAGTGTGGCACCTGTGGAAAAGCTTTTAGGTTTAGGTCTGCACTGAATAAACATCTGAGAAGCCACACAGAGTATCGACCACACTCTTGCAACATCTGTGGGAAAAAATTCAAGCAGACATCAAGTTTGAACACTCATTTAAGAATTCACACAGGTGAGAGGCCATATTCTTGTCCAACATGTGGGATGAGTTTCAAACATAGTCATCATTTGGCTTATCACATCAGAACCCACACAAGGATGAAGAGATGTCACAGAAAACGGATAGTCAGCTCTCATATTTCAAAGACTCACTGTGACGCTCACACAGGTAAAAAGTCCTTCAAATGTGACATCTGTGGAAAAACCTTTAGGTTTAGGTCTGTATTGAAAATACATCTGAGAAACCACACGGGGGAGAGGCCGTATTCTTGTGACACGTGGGAAAACATTCAAGCATACATCAAATCTGAATGTTCATTTAAGAATTCACACAGGTGAGAGGCCATATTCTTGTCCAACATGTGGGATGAGTTTCAAACATAGTCATCATTTGGCTTATCACATCAGAACCCACACAAG